GTGTCCGTCGGCTCACTGAGGGCCTTCCTCTTTATGCTGCCCTCCCCCCCCCTTGTCCTCAAACACGTCCGAAGCACTTGAGGGAAAGTCGTGCCTTTCTTGCCTCTGAGGGCATCTTGGCTGTACTTCTGCCAAGACAGGTTGGCTTGTTCTCTTGGCAGCCCACGGGACTTTCAGTATTCCTCTTCCCGGCCAGCGCCGCAATCCAGATACATCCACGCTGCCTCTGCCTTCCTTATTCCGTGTCCGACTCTCACGTGCATGTGAGGCCAGTGACAGTGCCGGGCTTCGGTCAGGTACGCCTTCGTCCTTAAAGTAGCGTCCTCACTTTTCAACACTTCAAAGCGGTCTTGTGCAGCAGATTTACCTAAGACAGTGTGTCGTGTCATCTCTTGACTGCTGCTTCCGTGAGCCTTGACAAAATCCTTGACAACCTCAGCCTTTTCTCCATTTGCCATGGTGTTACCTACGGGTCCAGTTTGCCCCCCAGGGAACCCTGGGCCAGTGGCTGGACATCATTTGGATGATCACATTGGTGGGAAGGGTCTTGCTTTCATCCACTGGGCAGGGGCCAGGGACACTGCTGACCATCATGCAGTGCACTGGATAGCTCTGCACCTACCACAAGCAAAGAATTCATTTGACTCTGACCGTCGGTAGCACTCAGGGTGAACGACTCGCAGCCCAACACGTCACCACTACCCCACACCACACGAGCTAGGCCAAGAAAGACAAGTTTACAGTTTCACGATGGGAATTACAGTAGATGAATAGCTTGTAGCCAGGCCCGGGTCTAGGAGTGTCTGCTGCAAAGAGGCAGAACCAGAGCTGCTGCTTCTGAGTCCTGGCTACGTCGTCCTGCCCTGTTGGGCTGTGCCACCTAAGGCTGAGTGGCCTCCAAGCCCAGGGCAGCAGGGCAGGGCAGGGAAGTGGCAAGGCAAAACCCCAAGGCAGAAGACTCGATGCCTGTGACAGTTGTCGACGTACCTTCCCCAAAGGCCTTGCTTTTCCTCTCTTACGGGAATAGTCCCATGTCCTCTGTTCTGGGAGAAAAGCGCCAGGTCCCAACCATGTCCTGTACTTAACCCACCAGGCATCCCACCTGCCTTTCTCCCTCCTGAAGGTCATCCGGGGCCGTGTGGGCGGAGCACACGATGTGGGTGGCAGCCTGAACTTGGATGTTGGACATGCTCCTTGAGGAGAGGAAATGGGGGCTGAGGCTGACGCAGCAGGGTCCAGACCTAGCCAGACCCACTGACATCAAGACGCGGGCTCAGTAAAAGCCCCCGTGGGTGTCTGAGGTCATAACTCCAAAGGAGCAGAAAGCCTCTTCTTCCTCACAGCGTTTGGTGGTTTTGAACCGCAGTTTCTGAGACTAACTCTTTACAAGAGTCACGGGAAGCCACCAGCCGATCCAAGGGAGAAATGCACAACTTTCTACTCACGTAGAGTCACAACCTCAGGAAGTTCCAGTCAGTGGCAGTTCAATGCTGCTCTGCCCTAAAGGTTGCTATGAGTTGGCATGGGGTTTCTTTTAGGGGCAGGCCAGGGGAGTGGTGTCCGTGGGGAGGAAAGACAGGGAAGGAGAGAAAGCTGGGTCCTTGGCGGGCTCTGACCACCAGGTGGCGCCCCAGGCTCATAACTCCACCACTGATGAGCCAGCAAGGATGCCAAGACCCCACTGCAGCGTTGGGTTCCCAGAGAGGGACCCCTGGCAGTACAAGGCACCTGCTGTGCATGCTACAGGTGGTGCCACATTCGTGGCCATGGCCCCCAGCACCCAGCTCTCCCTACACCATGGATCTGCAAGACAGCCTGTACCTGTTATGGAGATGGGTAAGACGAGGCTCAGGGAACTGCCTGCAGTCACAGGCTGGGGAGCGGCGAGCTGGAGCCTACACTAAGCCCAGGTCTGTCGCCAGGGTTCTTTCCACTCCCCCTGCCCGGGCTGGGTGGGTGGCACCTGCCTGAAGGGAGCCAGAAGCTGTGTGGCCATGCCGTGTCACCATCCTTGGATGGACTGCTGGGTTTGAGAGGGTGGGGCCACAGTCTAATGCCTTCCTCAGGCTTATGAGGGTGCAGACCTCAGGATCACGTGGGGGTGTGTCCAGGGAGTAGAGGAACCTGGCTCAGGCCCAGACACAGGTTCCACTTAAGATGGTGCCATGGGCTCAGCTCTGGAGGTCTCCAGAAGAGACCCAGAGCTGAGGTCTGCCTGCCCAGGCCAGGGGCACAGGGTCTCAACCTCTGGGACTCACACACACCATCCCTCCATGTATTTATTACTGAGAAGCACGCATGTAGCATCTGACCTGGGCTCCAACCGGCTCCATCGCTCACCTCTGTGGGCCCCAGTGTCCTCATCTAGAAAATGAGGATGCTTCTGGGACTTTCTGCCTGTCTTGTTGTCCCCGGCACACATGGGGAGTGTGTGTGGCAGTGATGCTGGAAGCTATGCCACATGTATTCCAAATACCAGCAGGGCCACCCCCGGTCAGTCGGTTTTCACTAGAGCTTCCAGGCTACGGCAGATGCGGAAGAAAGGCCTGGAGATCTACTTCCAAAACCCAGCCAAGGAAAACCCTCTGGATAAGAACAGAGCCCTGCATACAGATGGAGTGTGCAGCCCCGAAGCTCGAAGGCCCTTGGGAGTCACAGTGACCAGCAGTGTGCTAGAGCTGCCCAAGGACTGCGAGGATGGTGCAGGACTGGGTAATGTCTTCCTGTTGTACATGGGGTTCCCCAAATGTCACAACCACAACACCATGGGTGACCTTAGCACAGCTCCTGGCACGGGCAAGACTCCAAACCAGACCTGAGACGGTGAACCTTTACTGGAGCAAACAGCCTCATCTTTCTTCTGAGGCGCAGGGCTGAGTCAATAAAAACCCAAACTCAAAACTCACTGCCATCGAGTCAATGCTGACTCACAGCAACCCTATATAGGACAGGGTAGAACTGCCCCTGTGGACTTCCAAGACTATAACTCTTTACGGGGGTAGAATACCCCATCTGTCTACTGTAGAGCAACTGGTGGTTTCGAACTGCTGACCTTGCAGTTAGCCGCCCGACAAGTAACCATGGCAGCCATTATGAAATATGCCGCGGTAGCCTCCTGTGGAGCGGAGCGGGAACCTCGCTCAGCAGTTCATGAGGAAAAACAGCTGCTTGCCTGTCCCTAGGCTTACGTGTTGC